CCATCCTTCCATCCATCCTTCCTTCCATCCATCCATCCGTCCGTCCGTCCGTCCGTCCCTCCATCCATCCAATCATTTCTTTCTTAATGTTATTTATTTTTATTTTGTTTTTTTAGGAGGCAGAAACTGTTGACCAACTGTTGGCCTTCTGGGGAGGTGAGGAGCATGCTTTACATTTTTCAAAGTGTAATAAATTAGTCCTAAAAAAAGGATATTTATATTTGCACTAATAGACCTCTTTACCTCAGGTGTAAAGTTATCCTATGTTAGACCAGATTTAATTCTCCTAAGAATTACATTCTTTGATTGAGTTATATCTAAAGTATATTAAATGTGACTTCTCATGCACACCCATTAAACAAAGAAATAATACTCTATGGGAAAACATTGTCTGAGATAGGAAAACATTACACCCAAACCGAGGAGGTCTACTGAGTATGGCAATCACAATATTGATATTTAATTGTATTAATAATTGTATTAAAGTTTGGATTTTTATCTTTTCAGCAAAAAAGAATTAAAATCAAGGATAAAGAATTCCAATACATTTGTGATGAGTCATTTCATTATGTCTATAATTTTCTCTTTTGATTATCAGTCAGGGGCTAAAACAAAGCATTTCAAATAAGTATGATGTATTTAATTCAAGCTTTCAGTTATACTAGTATTTTTGTAGGTTTTTGTAGTTTAACTAAGCTGTATTAATGTAAACTGTAGTCATATTGTTACAACATTATGCAACTTTGAAATTGCACTGTATACCATATATCTGTGAAAAACTTAACTAACAAAATTGTACATATTAGTGCAAAGTTTTGTGGGTCTGCTGTTTAGAGTGACCACAGTAAATCCTTGAAACTTTAGTAATACTAATTAATAGCACAATTTCATGCAAATTCCATTGYTTTCTATTGTTTAACTAGCACTATTTTGTACTATTTAGTAATTAGTGTTTCACGGATTTACTGTGGTCACTCTACTGAGGTCTACTGAACTTACTAATTTGTTCAATTTCTTACAAAGGTTTTTCACAGATAGTATGCATTCTATTGTTGTATGCAATGCTGCAGAAGTAGAATCTTGATCTGCTACTTCAACATTGCATGTAACAACCTTCATAAAGTGACCACATGTCCTGCATTGTTGGTATTGGCCAATGGAATCCAATTTTTTGGTATAATGCTAGCCAAAATCTTATGGTATGTGTGTGCGTATGCATAGTTTTGTGTCAGCAAAAGTCGCTAAGTGTGACATCTTTAGCCAGTCATATTGAAAGCAACATGTCCATCATGTCTCTTTACAGCATGTAGAGAAAAAATATTGCTCTGGGATCCTCACGAGTACCCTACATTTCATATTCTGGCTGCGTTACCAGCGTGGTGTAGTGGTTAACAAATCGGACTGGAACACCGAAGACATGGGTTCAAATCCCGCCAAGGGCATTTGATATTTTTCTCTTATTCTCTTATTCTCTCTATTTCATTACACACAATGAATGCATAATTTATTACTACTATACTATCTCTTTACTGCATATTCAACTACCTAATAATGTATTGGGTTTAACAGTTAGAGTGCAAACAATATAACCGTGAAACTTTAGTGATACTAAAAAGCACAATTTCATGCAATTTCCATCTTCTATTGTTTAATTAGCACTATTTTGTACTATTTAGTTATTAGTGTTTCACAGATTAATTGTTTGCACTCTACCAACCCAAGGTGAAGATTAGTAAAATTGATATTCACTCGAGACAAAGTCGAGGTGATGTATTCACTGATATTAACTTCTTCACTGAAATTAACCGATAATTAACTTCACCTTTGGTAAAATAGTATAAATATTATCTGTGAATATTCATAAATAATAACTTCACCTTTGGTAAAATAGTATAAATATTATCTGTG